ATTCCTGCTAATGACAAGTGTCAAGGGCTGTGTGCAGCTTCCATGTCATCTGATTAAAATAGACTGTTTCCCCTGAACTTCCTCTCTTTTCCCTTCCAGGGCCAGAACAGACATTTGAGGTCAACCAGCCTCGGCCATGATGATGAGGACAACCCTCTCGGAGCTGACGAAATGACAGAATGGAAGGAACCCGGGTCCCTGCACCTGCCCATCCCCCATGCACTACGATATCAGAAAGAAACAAACATCTGTCTGATTTGAGCCACTCTGTCCTGGGCCCTCTTTGTCACACCAGCGTAACTAGAAGCCCACTCATACAGGTAGGACTGCTGTGTCACCCTCTCAGAGGGTCCTCCGACTGTGGGAAGAGGCAAAGTTGCCAGGGTGGGGTGAGCAGAGGGGACACCATGGGACCAGTGCGGAGGCACGAGGGTCAGAGTGCAGCTCAGCTAAAGGAAGAACTCTCTCCTGGCCTGAGCTGAGAGTGGAGTGGGTCGCTTTGTGCAGTGGGTGAGCTGAAAGGTTCCCTGTCAGCAGATATATTCAAGCGGAAGATGACCCATCACTAGGCAGGGAAGTTTCACGTTTTAGGTGCCATCTGGACGGGTGCTACTGGAAGGAAATGGTGCCCATGACACACAAGATAACATTAAGAACACAGCACAGCGCCTTACAGTTTGTGAAGAATGCCCACCTCCATTTCTAACATGGCCCAGGTCCCTCCAGGATGCTGGAGGACCAAGAGGCGAGAAGGAGCGCAGACCGGGCACCATTAAGGAGGGGCCTGGGCTGGGGGGCACCAGGGGAATAGAGCTGAGCGACAGGAGGCTGGGACCTGGGGGTGGCAGAAGGTGCTGAAAAGGAGGTGGAAGGTGGGAGGCCAGCGCAGCATCAGCCTCTGGAGACCAGGGCCTCAGCCTCCCTCTGTGACTTCAAGCATCTCCTCCCCTGCCCTGCGAGGCTGTGGTCTCCCTGCCAGTAGCAGGAGGGGAGTAGCCCTTTGTGCCTAGACTTCTTTTCCTGTGGGGCTTTGGCCACCCCCACCTCTCCACCCCACTCTCTCTCCCACCACCAGAAAAAGAGCCGGCAGCTGGCTCTGCGAATCACGAGCCCGCAGGCCAGGCTGGTGAGAATCAATTCCCCAGGGCTCCATCACCCCTTGGGTGAACTGATAATTATTGAGTTTCTAAACCTGTAAACCTGTCAGCAGCTCCTGGCTCAGAGGAGGAAAGGAAGGAAAACCTCAGCAGCAGCAGCGGCAAAATCTCCACTGACTGCAGGGAAACGGGAGCCTGAGGGTGGCCATAGCGGCACCGAGAGCGCTAGCGACGAGGGAAAGTGGCGGGGAGGTGAGGGGCAGCTGGGCCCCTCTTCCCCCTGAAACACCAGAGCTGCCTCCTCTAGAAAACCCAATCTGTAGGTTTCAGAACCTAGAAGCACATTGGGCCCTCAGCTATAAGCTAGGAGCCCCAGAGTCCTTCAGCAGAGCCTCAGTCTGACCATGTGGAAAATGGGAGCAATGATTCTGCCCGGGGCCCCCAGGAGCTGTGACGCTCAAAAGGAAGAGTTCTGGCCAAGAGTCAGGACACTTGAGGTCCAGCCCTGCCCTCACTGGTGTAGGCGCTCTCAGCCGCGGCATGGATAGATCTGCAAAATGGTAGGCGAAGGGGCAGGGCTGAATAACCATAGTGATGAGGACAGGATGAGGACAGCGACACTCCAGGGGCAGCCTCAGCACGGGGGGAGGGGGGAGGGGTGGGCAGAGGGCCCCAATCCATCCCTCACCGATGACAGGCCCTGGCTGCTGGCTTTCAGTCCCCACCGCCTCAGATAACAATTAGCTGGGCAGCGGCAGGCACGAGCTGTCAGCCCCCATTTGTCGGCCCCATGTTTCCTTGCCTAATCTGCCTGCAATCGCGTCCCTGAATTATTTATTCTGTTGTTTGTTTAAAGATACGTGGCCTGCCAGGGACAGAGTGAAAAATGTCCCTGCTCCACGGGAGTGACACCTCCCCGCACCTCCCGCTCACACCCCCTCCATCTGGCTGTTCCCAGAATTAATCGCCCAGTTCCTGCCCAGCGCCTCCACGGCCCCTGTTGTCACCGAGCTGAGACGGTGGGGGCAAGGGGCACTGGCCTCTGGTCCTCAGTGCAGGGGGCCACGGGGAGGGGCAGCTCTCACCCTTCCCTCACAGGAAGCAGGGGCTGGGAAGGCTGGGTCTCCCCTCGCCATGCCTGCACACCCCTCCTTGTCCCCTGTCCCCAGGTGACCAGCCTGAGCAGAGGCAGAGGCAACAGTGTCAGTGAGGCGACATCAGCGCTCTCTGTGACAGCGCTGTCCCTGTGGTACCCTCTGCCCTGTCACAGCACCATGAGGGCCACCCTCTGGGGTCAGGGTGCTATCTCCTGTTAGATACCCATGGTCTCCAGAGGGCTGATGTCCCACTCAGCCTCATGAGCCCTGGAGCAGAGTAGGGCCTGGAGGGATGGGACCCAGCAAGGGCGAGTCTCCGTGGGAAGGAGGAAATCTAAGTCAGGAGCTTGGGGCAGGAAGTGGCAAGGGGTCCGTGCCTAGGATAGAAGGGCCTGGTTAGGGGCGGCAGTGGGGGTTTCTGCATATCTGCGTGGACGAGAAAGGCCAGAGATGGGGAGGCCCACAAAGACACTGCCCCTTCCCGTCGCAAGTAGAGGGCCCACCTGGCATCTGAAGGGAGCCCCAGGCTGTAGGTACAGGGAAGCTGGTGCTCTGGGAGGAAGAGCAGGACTGGAGAGAACCAGATGTCATCTGGTGGAGGGTGTGGCCAACAGAGTCATCAGGGGTGTCCATCAAAGGGGGGGTGGTGGTGCTGGAAGCCAGGTACACTGCTCAGCACAGAGAGAGAGGGAGGCCATATGAAATCAGGGTCAAGGGAAAGACGCTGGGTGGGGCCAGCCAGTCACCACCTTGCTGTGTGACCTCAGGAGAGTCACTCACCCTCTCTGGGCCTCAGCTGGGGATCCAGCCCAATCCGGGCCTCACAGGACCGCTGTGAAGATCACTCACAGGGGAGAGAGCTCTGGGAAGTGAAAAATCCTGTTTGGATGTGGGAAGCTACTTTCCTCCTTTCCACGGCTGATATTCCTCCTACACGTGGGAATGATGTTGAGAATGGAAGATGCTTCACCCAGAGCCCCAGCGCGGGGAGCCTGTAAGAGGGGCTGTCCCAGTCCAAACACACCTGCGAGGGGAGGTCTCCTGTTTCTCCTGATCTCTTGGTGGGTGACAAAGGGGCTCCTCTCTGGAGCCTATGTTCACCAACGTCCCTCCTGCTGCCACCAACAATGTCCATTTCTGGCCTTTCCCCCAGTACTAGAGGGAGAAAGCAGAGTGCCAACCCCAGGTGCCACCAGGGTCTGAAACTCTCCTGGAGGGAGGGGCTCTTCTCCTCCTCCCCCACCAACAGAAGCCCCCCAAGACCATCAGACAGCGGGGAGGCAGGAGGAGCTGCCATGTTAACCATTTGGACACTTACAGGGTGTCCAGGGAGGGAGTCAGGTGTGCAGTGGGGCAGGGTGACCATAGCAACCCCTCAACCCTGTCCACCTGGGAGCAACCAGAGGCGAGGCCCATGGAGGCCCAGCCCACAGGCCGGAGGCCTCGGTCTCTGCTCAGAGGCAGCGGGGAGACCACCTGCTGCTGTGTGGCCTGGGTGAGTCCCTCACCTTTTTGAGCCTCCCTTTCCTCACCTGTAGCAGCAAATAATTAAAAATCACTGCTTTCAAGGTTGCTGCGAAAATGAAAACTGGTTCCTGGCAGGTGTGGCCCACAGTTGGGGTTCGAGAAATGGTCACCACTGTTACTGGTCCTCCAAGGCCTAACCTGCCCCTCACATGCCCTGCCCCTCTCTCCTCTCTGTCCCTTCTCGTCACACTGTGGGCTGGCTCCAGGGGGCACAGGAAGGTAAGCAAAGATGGCGACCCTGCTCCCTCCTGTACACATCCCTCAACCACTGAGGGACCAAGTCCTGCACAGGCTTCGGGTCTGCCCCTCAGATGCTAAGGGTCCCACATCCTCCCCCAACCCTCTCAAAGCACAACCCTCTACAGCTGAGGTCTCCTTGGACACCCCCCTGAGAACCACAGCTCTGCGGGCCCTCCTCTCGGCCCCAGCCCTTACTTACCCATCCCAGGGCCCGTATCCTGAGTCCCCATCTCTCAGGGCCCTGCCAGGGGGCGGCTAGGCAAAGCCAAGCCGAGGGGTTTCAACTGCTCTGGCACCAGGGCCACAGCTCCCAGGTTACCAAAGGGCCCCAGAGCAGTGGCCCTCCAGACAATCCCTTCCCCAGGGAGACTGAAAGGGCACAGGCCCAGATGTGGACTCCAGGGCAGAGAAATCCCGAAGTCTCAGGTCACTCTGCCTGAACCGAGGCCCCCCCCCAACACCCCCCCACCCCCCCCCCCCCCTCTGCCACTTCCCCCCCTTGGTGTCCATATGTTTGTTCTCTATACCTGTGTCTCTATTTCTGCCCTGCAAACTGGTTCACCTGTACCATTTTTCTAGGTTCTGTTAATATACGATATTTGTTTTTCTCTTTCTGACTTACTTCACTCTGTATGACAGTCTCTAGGTCCATCCACGTCTCTACAAACGACCCAATTTCGTTCCTTTTTATGACTGAGTAATATTCCATTGTATACATGTACCACATCTTCTTTATCCATTCGTCTGTCGATGGGCATTTAGGTTGCTTCCATGACCTGGCTATTGTAAACAGTGCTGCAATGAACATTGGAGTGCATGTGCCTTTGGGGGGGGGGGCGCTGACCTTCTCCAGGAAGGGGACGGGGCCTGTGCGGGCCCAGGGGGAGAGGGGCGGGGGCCAGGCACTCACCTGGAGCTTCCAGGTTCTCGCAGAGCTCGGACTTGGCCTCGCCGTTGGGCCGGAAGCTGCCCTTCTGCGTGAACTTGTTGGACATGGTGGCGGCGGTGACGACGGCTTTGAGGCTGCGCTTGCGCTTGGGCACGTTCTGCTCCGGGTGGAAGAGGATGATGTAGACCTTGGGCATGTAGAGCATCCCCAGGGACACCGAGGCGCTCAGACTCACCGAGACCGTCAGCGTCGTCGTCTGGATGTACAGCTGGGGGCGGGCCGGGGGCGGTGTCAGGGCAGGCTCCGCCCCGGCCTCTCAGGGGCCCTGTCTGAAGCCCACGCCCTAGACAGACACAGTGGGGTACAAACCCGGGGACCGCCCTGTGTCCCGCTGGCTTCGGGCAGAAGGGAGTTGAGGTATAGAGCTGGGACTTTAGACCAGAATCCCTGGATTCAGCCGGGCTCACCACTGTCACTGTGTGGTCTGGGACAAGTCACATCCTTGGGCCTCAGTTTCCTCGGGTATAATATGGGCATGATAATTCTAGCCCTTTCCTCATAGGGCTGTTGTGAGTTTGAAATGACTTAATAAATGGCAAAAACATGTAAAATAATATTTGGCACATGGTCAGTGCACAGAAGTGTTCACCACTGTTATGTGCTATTTGGTAGAGGCCCCTGGGGAGGCGCCCTCAGGGGACAGCTGACCCTCCTTGGGGGCAGCGCCCCCTGCACAGGGCTGGGAGTGAGATGAACATCTGTCGGTGCCTTGTAGTAATTCCCAGTGGCCATGGCACAGCCCCTTGACCAGGCCCCCCGTTCAGTGACTGCCCCCCCACATGCCACCCTGTGCAGAGCAGGCCGCTGGCACAGGAGCTGTGGCCTGATCGTGATCCACTGACGGCAGCCCAGTCAAAGCTCATTTCACGCTCACTCACCAGCACTAACGTTGACAGATGTTTAGCAAAATGAAAGTCCATTAATCTGGGTGTCAGGTAATCCATTCTTCAATAGCGGGGCCTTCCAGGCAGGGCCCGACAATTCCCACCACCCTCGCCTGGGATGCCCTCCCCACCTCCTCCATCCCTCCGGGTCCTCCAGGCCTCAGCTGCCCCTCTGGCCCCCTCAGCCAGGGTGGGGCCAGGGGAAGCCCAGGCTGTGGCCCCCAGGTCTGGGTATGGGAAAGCAGGAAATGCTCTGCCCCCAGATCTGCCGTTTCCGGGCCTGGGCCCCTCCCCTGGGGCCTGGCTAATGTACCACCTCCTCCAGGAAGCTCTCCCTGACTCTCAGCTCTAGCCAATCCCCCATGATAGCCTTCACTCCTTGCACCCAGCCCAGAAGTGGGGGACCGAGGTCTGGACTTGCCTCCTGAGGTCACAGGAGCCCTGAGCTCATCTGGAAATCTCCCGAAAGGAGGGGCCAGGTCCTCCCATTCTCACATTCCTCCCCATCTCTCGCCCCTCTCATAAATACCTCATGACCTGGATCTGAAGGCCTTCATCCCAGCCACCCTTCCCCGGGTCTCCTTTGGGAGAGGGGCTGGAGAAGCTCTAGGGTCTGAGAGGAGAGAGGTGTGTGACACTGAGGAAGTCTCATCCCCTCTCCGGCCCTCAGTTTTCTCAACAGCGCAATGGGATAATAGCACCTACCTCACCCAAACCATGAGGCTACCCAAGTGCAGACTGTGAGGCCACATGAAACTTACAGGACACCAGAGCGGGGTTTGGGGGAAGGAGGCTGGGAGTGTAGAGAGGCTGTTTCATTTGCCACCATTCAGAAAATGTCACAGGCCTGGGAAAATGAAAGCTTGTTCCCTAGTGAGCACACACCCCTCTGTCCTCACACGCAACCCACACTCTCACCGACAGGCACAGTACTGCCGCCCAGCATGTGGACCGGGAGAGGTCATGACAAGCCAGTAGGAGGGTGCTGGCCACCTCTCCCACCCACTGGATGGCACTGGGGGCCAGGGCAGAAGGAGTGAAGGGGGACAGTCTCCAGAATATCATAACAGACCCTTGGAGAAGACAGTGGAAATCTGGGCTAAGCAAGAACGGGCTTGTTATCTGGGTCTTCACTATTGACTGGGGGTCCCGTGGGGACAAGATGTGTCTCCCTCATTAGACTGGGGGTTTCCTGAGGGCAGGGGTGTCTCTCCTTTTGCACTGGGGGTTCTTGAGTATAAGGGTGCATTTCCAGGGCAGATATCTATCTTAGGTCTTTTGCCCCCAACTTGTTGATGGGAAGGAGGTATGGTTGGGCCAATATGGGGATGGTGGGACAGGGGTCAAGTACCCTCTCTGGGCAGAGTGAGGCCTGCAGTGGACACAGCCCTGTATGGGGGTTAGGGGCCTGGGTTCCAGATTCCACTCTGCCCTGACTCACTGAGGGATGCTGAGCCCCCTCCACTAATATAGGCAGAGTTTGCTCCATGGGCATGCACACTCGGTTTAACACCTTGCGGCCGCCAGCTTGAATCCCGAATAATTTTTGAACAAGCGGCCTTCGTTTTCATTTGGCTCCTGTCCCTGAAAACTATGGAGCCAGCCCCGAGCACAGGCCTCGGTGTTCTGTTCTAATCTGTTTTTCAGCCTAGGAGGCTTTCTGCACACAAAATACAAGGAGGGGTGTAAAGAGATCAAACTTGGACAAAGCTCCCCCCGCCACTGGGGCCCCTCCCCGCCAGCATGGGCCCTGGGGGCTCCTCTAGCCATGCCCAGGCTGGGGGCGGCTGGCCCTGTGCACAGAAGTGGGGCTGTGCACCCCCAGCCCCTCTCCTTGCCCCAGGGTCTGGAGTTCTCACCCCACCACTGGCTCCAGCATTGTTCTGGGGCCCCCCGGGGTGAAGGTGCATGTCACCACCAGGAGGTGGTAGTGTGTTAACCCTGTCAGAGAAGCGGCAGTCCTCTGGAACCTCTAGCCTACAGGTATGGGGCCCAGGCACGGATGCAGATCTCGCACGGATGCAGAGTAAAAGGCGGCTTCCAGGATGTGATTTTACCTTCTCTCTTCTTCCAGGATGTGATTTCACCTTCTCTCCCATCCACCCATCCTCCAGCCTGAACTGCCACCCTTCCTGCTCCCCTCTTTGACTTTGGTCAGGCCCTTGCTACACTCCGTCCTCTGCAAGGAATCCTGCCTTAGCCTCACGAGTCACTGCTCCCCAGAGTGAAGCAGGTTGTCAGAGCTGGGTTTGATGGAAGAGGGCAGAGGTCACCTGGGGTGGGGCAAAAGGCAAAGAAAGGAGCTGCTGTGGAGGTGGACAATGAAGTTCCTGGTTTGTGCTCGGTCTGGTGGGGGGCACGGAGGAGTCCGCCTGCTTCGTGTTTCTGCCCAGGCTGACCCCGGTGGGTCCTGAGATCCTCAGTCTAACAAACCAGACAAATGACCTTCCCCACAACCTGGCCAGCCTCTGAGGCCACGGCCCGCCCCAGCCTGGCTGAGCAGTTACCCCAACCAGTGGAGAGACCATACCCCAGTCAGCTCAGGGTAATGGCACGCGGCTACGCAGGTGAGCCCTGGAAATCCAGGCCAACGTGGGTGATCCGGTCACCTGCTCACCAGAGCAACATGGACAGCTTCACTCAGCGCCACCTGCAGCCTGAGGGACAGGCGGGGTTGCAAGTACACGTGCGCACACACCAGGGCACGCATAGATGCTCACAAATCCACACTTATGTACCCATGCAACTCTGCATTCACACACACACACCTGAACTCACAGCCGCACACTCCTACCTGACTCAGATACACCTGGGCTCTCACACACACACACCCCTTCATGTACCTGGGTACACACATGTGTGCACACACACAGATGCACTCAACACACCTGCACACATACTTGAACACACACATACACCTGTGCACACACACACCTACACTCAAACATCTGCACATACACTGCTGAGCACGCACAATTAATCTGCACACCCAAATACATCCTAGCAGCCATGAACCCTCAGTGCACACCTGTCCATCCCCACTCAATCTGCACACACACACACACACACACTGCCCATCCACTGCTCAATCTGCACAGAAAGGCACACACACATTCTGTACACACACACTTCTGTACCCATAACACAACTCCCCATAGTAGCCCCACTCCACTCCATCTACACACACACACACACACACACACACACACACACACACACTAGCACCCAGGACCCGGCAGTCATTGGGGCTGTTTGTAGCTCAGACATGACCCAGCGCAGATAGAGCCCCAGGGTTGCCTGAGCCTCTAAGAAGCCTGGTGGTCTGAACTGGAGGCACTTCAGAGCTCCCCTCCCCACCCTCGCCTCATTCAGAAGCCCAGAGAAGGAGGGGGCGTATCCCATGTTGACGCCATCAGGGGCAGAGCTGGGTCTCAGGACCATACGCTGGTGTGGGCCAGCCTGCTTTGCGACCCTGGGCAGGTCCCTGGTCCTCTCTGGGCCTCAGAGGAGATCATCTCAGAGGCTCCTTTCCATAATCTGTACTGAGAGAAGCCTCCTAAAAAGGGAGAAATCAGAGGCAGGTGGGGTGGCCTGGAGAGATGGGGGGAGGGTGCCGAGAGTGGGGCTGGGCCCCAGCGCCTGGAGGTGGGAGGGTCTGGTACCAGGATGACAGGGACCGCCGTACTGGGAGCAGCGTGCTGGCAGGCAGCCAGGGGAAGTTATGGGAAGGCAGAGCAAGGGCCTGAACCACCATGCTGTCGGCCACCTGGCTGTGCACCTTTACACCCTGAGGAGGCGAGGGAAGGGGCCTCCTGGGATTGTTGAGGGTAATGTCTCAAGCTGCCAGCTTCCTGGGGCGTGGGCGGCCTCCCCTGATGGCTCCATGGGCCCCCTGGGCGTTGCGGGGCGTGCGGGCCTCTGTCTGCACCTGCCCTCAGCGGGGAAGGCCTCTTGCTGGCCTGCTGGGGGTGGAGACCCAGCCCACCATGCGAGCTGTTCCTCAGTGGCAGTGGCTTTGGCTCAAGTGTGCAGGGTGGCCTGGAGCCAGGTCTGGTCTCAGACCTCGGGGTGCTCACTGCCAGCCTCAAGGTCTGCTTCTCAGAACCCCCAGCCTGCTGGGTCACCATTGGAAGACAGGTCACAGGCCTCTCTGCACCAGACCCAAGGGATCTGGGGTGGAAGGCGCAGCTCCTGCACTTGAGGAGCTGCTGGAGAAGGGGTGGGCACCTACCAAGGAAGGCCCAAGGGGAGGGGTGCCCCAGAGCTGCAGGGAGTGGTGTGGGCTTGGGAGGGGCTCCTGAGTTAGACACAGTAGGTTCAAGTAGTCCAGCCGTGCCTCGTACTGGCTGTGTGACCTTAGACAAGTCACTTCACCTCTCTGTGCCTCCACGTCCTCATCTGTAAACAGGGATGGTGAATCTACCCTAGCCCACTGTTGTGGTGTCTGCTGACCACCAGGTGAATTGCCTAACACAAGACAAGCAGCCCTCTGTGGTTGCTTTGACTGCCGTCTCACTGAGGCCAAGCATCCCTATAGGAGCTCACACCCAGGCTCACTCTTTAAATGCTGTCCACAGGATGGCGACTCCCCCAGGTACAGATCTAACCCAGCCCTCGTCCCTGAACCCCAGACTCACATAGTCAACCACTGACTCAACAGCTGCACTTGGAAGTCTCATGGGCATCCCAAACTCAGCACCTCCAGAGGACTTCCGGATCTCCGCCCCCCATAGGCTCGCTGCCATCTCTATCCCGCCCCGCAACCGCCCCCCACCCCCCACCCCAGTGCAGACACTTTCCTTCCCATCGCTCACACCAACGACTGTGGAGTCATCCTGACTCCCCCCTGCGCCTCTCATCCCACATGCACTCCATCGGAAACCCAGCCAGCCCCACCCCCTGACATAGCAGGAATCCTCCGCACCTCACCACTCCTGCTGCCAGCAGCTCCTTTGGGGATCATTACAACCACCTCCAGCAGGGCTCCACCCAGCAGCCAGAGGGATCCTTTTAAATCTATGTCCCAACGCATCCCTCCCTGCTCAGAACCCCACAGTGGCTCGCTTCTCACTCCCGGTAAAAGCCAACATCCTTCTCACAGCCTCTGGGTCCTACATCATCTGTTCCGTCTGCCCCTTGACCTCGTCCCCTCCACCCTCCTTCCCAGCCCCAGCCTCCTTACGGTGGGTAAACGGCTTTTACACCCCTCACGTTGTGTGATTGTTACAACACCTGTAAGGACTGCAGAGGAAGGGTCGTGGCCCCAATCTGTTGATGAAGAAACTGAAGCAGAGAGGCCAGCTGGCTTTGCCCAGGATCCCACAGTTAGACACAGAGCTGGGGTCCTTGGTCCCTCCGATTCTCCCTATCTCTGGCCTCTGACTTCAGTGACTCCCAATCCTTCTAGATAAAACCCCCCAGCACCCAGGCAGCGCTGGGGCAGTGATGTGGGTGGAGTCCACGGGGCCCTTGGGGTGTATCTAGACCCTCAGGCCAGGCTGGCAGGATGGCCTGACAGAGCCAGAAAGAGGCAGCTCATCGGCAGCTCCAGCCAGTGGAGGGTGGACCCTCAGCTGATGCTGCCAGGTATCCCCACCTGGCCTTCGGGGTGGCTTGGGGCCAGGGAGAGAGGGAGAGAGTGCCCAATACATCACCCACCTCGGGGACCCATGGGGATCCTGCAAGGGCAGAGAAGAGGGTGGAGAGAGGAGGAAGAAAAGAGGAGTGGACAGAAAGGAAGAGGGGCTGAGTAGGGAGGGAGGTAAGGGAGTGTATAGAAAAGAATGCGGAACTCCCTGGCAGTCCAGTGGTTAGGACTCCACGCTCTCACTGCCCAGGGCCCGGGGTTTGATCCCTGGTCAGGGAACTAAGATCCCACAAGCCACGTGGCACAGCCAAAAACAAGAATGAAAGCGGGGGCAGCATCCCAGGCTGGCAGAGAGGAGAGAGGAAGGTGGGAAGGAGATGGGGAGGGGAAAAGGTGGGGCGGGAGAGGCAGGGATGGAGAGATAGGGAAGGAGAGAGGAGAGGCGGAGGGTAGAGAGAGGGTGGGAAGCAGCAGGAAGGAGAGAGATGAGGCAGCGGAAGGTGGTGGGGGGCGGAGAGAAATGGGAGAGGAGGCAGGAGAAGGGAAAGGGAGAGAGAGAGGAGAGAAACCCAGAACCTGGAGAGAAAACTGAGACGGAGAGAAGACAGAATGAGGCAGGAATGAATGCCCTTCCAGAGCAAGGTGAGAGGCCAGCCAGCCCCAGGAGGCTGCCCCCTGCTTGCCGCCCTCACCCACCCCCAGCTCCTGCCACTCACCTTGTCAGCCGACTGCGAGGTACCAAAGAAGATGGGGATAAAGGCGAGCCAGACGATGCAGGTGGTGTACATGGTGAAGCCGATGGGCTTGGCCTCATTGAAGGTCTCAGGCACTCCGCGCGTCTTGATGGCATACACGGTGCACGTGACCATGAGCAGCATGCTGTAGCCCAGCAGGCAGATGAGCGACAGGTCCGAGATGTCACACTTGAGCACGCCCCTGGCGAAGCGGGGGTCGAGCGTCCGCTGGTCCTGGAAGTCCACCACCGAATGGGAGGGGTCCACTACAAACCACACGCAGATGCCCAGCAGCTGCAGGGAGATGAGGCTGAAGGTTATGGCCAGCTGCGAGGCGGGGCTGATGAAGCGCGGGGCACTGACCGACCGCTTGCCCTGCTCGAAGATGCGATAGATGCGGTTGGTCTTGGTGAGCAGGGCCGCATAGCTGATGCTCATGCCGAGCCCCAGGAAGATCCGGCGCAGAGAGCAGGTACCCAGGTCGGGCTCGGCGATCATGAGGAAGGTGGTGGCGTAGCACAGGAAGATGCCCGCCAGCAGCACGTAACTCAGCTCGCGGCCCGAGGCCTTGACGATGGGCGTGTCATTGTAGCGCACGAAGGTGGCCACCACGAAGAGCGTGGCAGCGATGCCCACCACAGCCAGGAAGAGGGGCAGCACGGCCCAGGGTGAGTCCCACTCAAGCTTGATGATGGGGATGGGCTGGCAGCCCGTGCGGTTCTCTGTGGGCCGCATGTCGTAGGGACATGTCTTGCAGGTGTAGCGGTCCACCTGGTACTGGTACCCCGTGCAGGGCTCGCAGTGCCAGCAGCAGGGCATGCCCTTCACCGTCTTCTTCCGCTCACCTGGCTGACAGGGCAGGCTGCAGATGGAGCGGGGCAGCTGCTGCCCACTCCCTGGCCAGTGCATCCGCTCTATCTGGCAACAACAGCGCAGAGGAGAGGGCCTCAGGACATGCCGCCAAGTGCCCTGGACCGCCCCACTGGTGGCACCAATCTGAATCACTTAGTTAGTGATTTTAGTTAGATGGGTAAAATCCAGCTACCCGGGCCCTGCCAGGAGCAGCTGAATCCAACAGCTGCATTTAAATAAGCTCCCCGGGGCAGGATCCAGACCCAGCTGACCATGGGGGATCCCGCTCCAATACAAAACCCCCAAGGGTCGTATGGAGAAACGCCCAGAGACCGGCAGTGACAACCTAGGGTCACATGGCAGAGTGGAGAGAACCCAGCAGTCCCGACTCCCAGCCCCATGAGGCCTTGCTATTCAAAGTGGTCCCCAGACCGGCCACATCAGCATCACCCAGGAGCTTGTTGGAAATGGAAATTTTTGGTCCACCCCAGACCCACTGACACAGAATCTGAGTTTCAACAAGACCCCGCAGGTGACTCCTGTGCACCCTCAAGAAGAAATGTGCTATGGCTCAGCCCACCGGGCCTCCTCCAGGCGGCACAGGGACTTGGGTTCAGAAGAGAACAACGAATAAAGATTCAATGACAGGACCACTAATGTGTGCCCACAGGTTAGCGTTTCTTTGTATCTTGCTCTAAATGAGTGCTAGTCACTGTTACATGTCTCCGAAGACACAACTGCTGCAAGCTAAGAGGGGATAGAAGCTGGCACGCCCTACTCAATGTGTCACAAAGTTCTGGAAAGTAAGCGAGAGCCCCATAGAGCTCCAGGCACTGGGCAAAGGGAGCCTGACTACACTCGGGAGCCGTATTCAAAGCATCAGTTCTAAATAAGTGGCTCTGGGCTCCCCTGGTGGCACAGTGGTTGGGAGTCCGCCCGCCGATGCAGGGGACACGGGTTCGTGCCCCAGTCCGGGAAGATCCCACATGCTGCGGAGCGGCTGGGCCCGTGAGCCATGGCCGCTGAGCCTGCGCGTCTGGAGCCTGTGCTCCGCAACGGGAGAGGCCACAACAGT